TGTGTGTGTGTGTGTGTGTGTGTGTGTGTGTGTGTGTGTGTGTGTGTGTGTGTGTGTGTGTGTGTGTGTGTGTGTGTTTTAAAGCATTTCTTCCTTATTCTCACTGTGATTAATAGTCACAAAGAGAATCAAACATCTATCAGGATTCTTTAAAATAAAAATTAATAATTTAATAACTGCACGCTGCTATAACCTTGCTCCTGAAACATTTTTGCAGCTTGTTAGTAACATACATACAGAAGAGTAGAAACAGTAAAAATGATAAATCTCGAGGTGCCAACCTCTTTTGTGTTAATCTTATCTGTAGATCTGAATGGTACCTACCTGCATTTAGTGGTTTTTCATTTTTCATGTTTGACTTTGTTTAATTTCTATGATTTGTTTCAAATTATCTGACAAGCCTGTTACGCAGTTAAGCAACAAACGTCATTACATGACTGTAATATTTAACTTCATCTATTAAAATGTTTTATGTTGTAGCAGAGTCCCCAAACTTACAGTACGCAGTTGGTGTTTAGATTGAAGATGAATCAATAATAAAACAGAAAATTTGACTTATTTTGGAAATGGCTTGATATCAGGCTTAGTCAACATGATGGCCAGATGCACCCAAGAGGCTTTTATTTTCTTCTCTGGATAAAATCATTTTTAATGTGAGTTGTAATTTAAAAATAATAATAAACTAAAACAGCAATAATGCATTTATGCATCAACAAATAAAGACAAGCCAAAGATTCAGTTCCACGGGTCATTTTTGAAAACTTTAGGCCAATTTTTTTAAATAGTATAAAGGCCACTGGTTTGATTTCAGGAAGAGATACAAATTTCCTCTTCAGTTGCAGTATGAAAGGCATCCAGTATAAAAGTCTTCCAAATCAAAACACAGGGGTACCTGCTCTGGTAACCCCTTGTGAAAAGGGAATAGCTGACAGTAGCTTTAACTTGATGTGTTAACTTGATGTGTTAAAAATGGCCAAAGTGCAATTTTTGGCACTTTAACTTGATAGCAATGGTCTACAACAGCACTGCTTTCAGCTAAGTAGACTTGTGAAAAACTGTTTTCCCCCATTCCTGATTTTATATTGTTTTGCTCTGTGTTGTTGTTAATATTTAAGCAGTGTATATTTTTACATTTTAGCCCATGCAACATTGGACCAATGCATCAATTGGGTAAATGCTCGCAAAAAGTGGAGCTGGATGCTGCTGAGAGGAACTGGACCTTAACAGTCACTAATCCTCTGGGAAAGCTCGAGATCCATGACAGGGTGGACCTGACCAAAAGAGGTAAAACTTTGGAAAAAACGAGGGAAAAAGGCTATTCTTAATCTTTAAGATCAGCTGATTGTTGTGATCTCTTGTTTTAGTGCACATGGTTGCTCCAGACAAAGTGGCAGCTTCAACTGTGAACCCCAGAAACATCAGTCTGAAATGGAGCTGGACTGTGCAGAAGTACAGTAATCTCAACATCACATGCCAAGTAGATGTCAGTGATGGAAACTCTAATACCAAAGTGAGTAGATTAAAAA